CCCAGGAGTTCAAGACCAACCTGGGCAACATAATGAGACCCGTCTCTACAAAAATTTTAAACATTGTCATCCCATTCTCTACTGGAAAATAAACAAATTAGCTGGGGGTGCTGACACGCACCCATAGTCCCAGCTACTTGGGAGGCTGCAGTGAGAGAATTGCTTAGGCCTGGGAGGTTGAGGCTACAGTGAGCCAAGATTGCGTCACTGCACTCTAGCTGGGGCAATGGAACAAGACCCTGTCTCCAAAAAATAAATAAATAAAAACAAGAGGACCTAACATAATCTGAGTCAGGAGGGGACTAGTGGGAAGGTTTCTTGGAGATTAAATGGCGTTCTGAGACCTGGAGGATAGGCAGAGGGGGATTGGGGACAGGCGGCAGTGGCTACATCAGACAGCCTGTGCAGGGTCCCAGTGTGGAGAGAGTGTTGAGAGGGGTCAAGGAATAGCATGAGCTATGGGGGGAAAGGGAGGGAGAGTGGCTTCACGTGAACAGGTGTTTGTTGTAAAATGAAAACTTAGTCAAATTTCTGGAAGAATCTTTAAAACCTCTTAAAGAGATGGATTTCAGACTGATGATCAGATTTTGTTGTTTTGTGGTTCAGACAGAAATCTTACCTTGTCTATCAGCACTGTGTCCTAGAGTTAGAGCCCAAGTCTTGCTCCCCTGCTAATCCTTTGAATTTTCCCCAAATCTATGTTCTTAATTTCCCTCACCTACCTCCCCCAGGAAGGTAATCGTTTTCTAGTAAGAGGTGGTTTTCACAGACAATGTGTCCACATTTCTTTTTCTCTGCATCCTTGATGGCATCAGGGAAAGGTGATCATCGACATAGTCAATGTATGTGTATGATTCTCCCACCAAAGGCAGGATTTAAAAAATAATGCTTTAAATAGAATGAACAGAGGCAGCTACTTGGACCAGCTACTTGACTCTACTTGTGCTTTGAGGCCAGTGTGAGATTCTTAGGTTTCAAACCTTAGTGCTCTGTGTTGACATTTTCTTTTTCTTTTCTTTTTTTTTTTTTTT